TAAAACATAAGCTTGCAAATTCACAAGCCTGGAATTTGCCTCATTATTTTTCTTCCTTTATAAAAATTGGAGAGAGAACATGTTTGATGGTGTTTTAAATTGCCCGTGATACCATCATCCGAACACAGCTATTTTCATTATCGCATATTATCTTTCTGTCTTCATCCACACATTTTTTAAACAAAGGAGTTGTATTGCTTTTCAAAAAAGAATTGTACTAGTTTACAGTGTCATCAGCGTTGAATTTGAGTGCTAATGAAAACGTTGCAAAATTCAGTGTAACTTTTTCTTTAATAAGTATGAAAGATAACTATTTCAAGCATTTTCACATATCTTTATTAACAAGGATGAGCCTTTTTTTTCTTATAATTACTGTTTTTTTGGATGCAAGTTCACACATTTTTCTTCTGGGTTCATACTTTAAATGTTTTACTAGCCATTATTACTTGGGTCTGACTTTTTTGAGATGCTGCTGATATATAGGAAGAAAAAAGGCTTTGTTGCTGCTTTTAAGGCTAAAAAAGACCACGGGTTTTTCTCAGTATTGTTCCTCCTTTACACAAAAGTATTTTCCCCTTTTATTCACAAGTATTTTTCATGTTGATTCCTGTTGCTTTGACCTATATAAGTCAAAGTGGCCTCGATTTCTTGTGCTCTTTCCTCTTTGTATTAAAAATCAGGAGACCAGGGCTTCCCTGGTGGCGCAGTGGTTGGGAGTCCGCCTGCCGATGCGGGGGACACGGGTTCATGCCCCAGTCTGGGAGGATCCCATGTGCCGCGGAGCGGCTAGGCCCGTGAGCCATGGCCGCTGGGCCTGCGCATCTGGAGCCTGTGCTCCGCAACGGGAGAGGCCACAACAGTGAGAGGCCCACGTACTGCCAAAAAAATAAATAAATAATAAAAATCAGGAGACCAGTTGTTTCTCAGGAATCAGAGAATGCAGCTGACCAAAAAGCTTGTCCAGGTGTGCTGACAGTGATACAAGCACTTGATGAGTCTCGCTTCCACTGGGGTCTCTCCCAGATCAGCCATAGCCTCCTGTCTCAGTATGACACTTACTCAGTGGTTCTCAAAGGTCGGTCTGGGTTAGAGTAGGACAAATGGACTCTGCAGAATCTTACTTAGAGTTACCTTTCAACTTAACTTGGTGTGACCGAAAAGATTTGGATTGAAATTTTTTTTTTTTTGCGGTACGCAGGCCTCTCACTGTTGTGGCCTCTCCCGTTGTGGAGCACAGGCTCCGGACGCGCAGGCTCAGCGGCCATGGCTCACGGGCCCAGCCGCTCCGCGGCATGTGGGATCTTCCCAGACCAGGGCACGAACCTGTGTCCCCTGCATCGGCAGGCAGACTCTCAACCACTGCGCCACCAGGGAAGCCCCTGGATTGAAATCTTAATTGTATTCAGTAGCCACATAAGTTTCTAAGTTTAATTGATTTTACACAAAGTCCTTTTATGTTTTCATGCCTGGGCAGTATAGATGATCAGTTTGGATGGTGATTTTGTTTTGGGTTTTTTTGCGTATAAAAACAGAGGTTTATTCCTTGTGGTGCTCTAAGGTCATCATGGAACAGCTGCAGCTCAGCTCCAATTCCATCATCACTCCAGGACCTGGCTGGCGGGGCAGCCTCTCCTAGGGGCACAGCTGGCTGAATGGCAGAGGGACAGGAGGTATAGGAAAAGCACCTTGGTGCCCAAGGCTTCTGTTCAGGAGTGATGCTTCCCACTTCCATATGTATCCTTGGCCAGAGCAAGCCCCTGCCCCCCACATCTGTGTCCAGTAGGGCGGGAATGTATAATGTGTGGTCCACACAGTGTCATCACAGGGAGGTGAGGGCACCATATGTTTTGGAAACTAACAAAAATCTCACAGTTCAGTCAGAGTTAACATGAAGAGGAAAAGAAACAAAATATCTAAGACTTACTAATTGATGGTACATCAGCAGTAATGGAAATAGAGGAATTAAGGGTCAATGAAGGGTCAATTCCAGATGCGTGGCGCGTGGCCTGGTCAATCAAGTAGTGGCGCTGCCATTCACTGGGAGCCATCTGCCTAAAAGGGAGTAGTTGCCTGAATGAGACCATGACGAGAGCATCTAAAGGGGAGAGAGCTGAGGAAGGACCCCTAGGGCCATGCTGCCTGGCCTTGTTCATGTCGTGCACGTGTGGACGGTGGCATTGTTTGGGCAGCACACTGGAATAAGCAGATCAGGCACCTGGTTCTGCAGCCCACCCGCCCTGGGGCTCTGACCACCCTAAGGGCTGGGGAAAATCAGTGTTTCAGGGACGTGCCACCTGGAACGATGGTTAAGAATCCGCCTGCAGGGGACACGGGTTCGAGCCCTGGTCCAGGGGGAAGATCCCACATGTGGCGGAGCAGCTAAGGCTGTGCGCCGCAGCTACTGAGCCTGCGCTCTAGAGCCCGCGAGCCACAACTACTGAGCCCCCATGCACCGCAATGAGAGAAGCCACCGCAATGAGAAGCCCGTGCACCGCAGCAAAGAGTAGCGCCTGCTCGCCGCAATGAGAGAAAGCCTGCATGCAGCGACCAAGACCCGATGCAGCCAAAAATAAATAAATAAATAATTTTTTTTTTTTTTTTTAAAAAATGGGTGTTTCAGCAGCACACCTCTAAGCCATGGCTGAGGAGTAGCCACAAAAGAAGGAAACAGGAAAGAGGGCTTTCACGGAAGCAAAAA